TCCGCACCCCCCATACCCCTCAACGACCCCGCACCTCAGGGTTACCTTGGAGGGGGTCCCGAGTCCGACCCCTTGTCAATTAAGCTACAAGGGGCTCCGGTCAGGGGCCTCCCGGTTCTTGGTCCCCCCTCTTCTCCCTGACAAACCTTCTCCGCCTCCGGGTCGTCATGTAGCCCGCATGGTTTTTCATACCACCTGCACGCCTCGACGACACCCGCGCCACACTAATCCTGCCTTGGGTCCCGGGCTCCGCTCAGAGACCCGCAGGGCAGGTCCTCGCACAGCATCTCCTTTGTTGCCTAGCAGACATCTCTCGGTGATGTCTGCTCATCGCACCCCGTCTGGCGCGCCCCCTCAGCCGCTCACCTGACAAGACGGAAACTGCTCTTGCTGTGGGGCGGCGCGGGAAAGATGTCCCCATCTCTTACCCTAACAATTCAACATCCGGCCACCTCCACGCCCAGCCCGCGCCTCCTGTTGTTTCCCGCGACTCGTCCAGACTGCAAGCGAACTCTGGCGCTGTGGTGCCTAGAATAACACAACTGTCCCTTCACTGTGGTTGGCAGTAACTGCCGGCTGCTCAACACCCCCTGCGGTGGGCGCTCCCTCGGCATACCATCCCGCTCGCGCAGATTACAGCCGGGTGCTTAGACAACATCGGAGGATACGTCCCACCGCTTGACCAGACACGGTCAGCGGGGCCGCAAGAATTCTGCTCGTGCGCCAGGGCGTCCTCGTCATCTCCTCACGCCCCACGAGAGACTTCACTCCGGCAACTCCCCCTCCTGGCGGCTGCTTCTTACCTCGTGCATGCGTGCCAAATCCGACCTCCTGCACGCCTACCAAGATGCAAAGCGGCTTCGCTGGTCTCCAACCTCCCAATTTCCCTCCCAGTTGCCGACAACGCTCCGCCTCCTCCGCTACCCTTCACTGCTTCCAAGTAATGCTCAGAATCACTTTCAAGCACGGTACTCTTGCGGTACATGCTGGCGACTGACCTGGCCCTTCCTACCCGTCCAGCGAACATGTTAACCGTAACAGCCCCAGCAACGTCACTCCGCCCCTGCAGTGCAGCCAAACAGCTCGCTGAACCCGCACTGCGGGGGGGACCACAATGTCCGTCAGCAAAAACACGTGGGTTTTGCTATTCCTGGCTCCAAAGGTGGGAATGGAGCTTTCCCCATTGAAATCAGGACAGCAGATAGTTACCATCCTTCCGACGAATGACTGAAAACTCCAATCTCTTTTGACCCCACTTCGAGCGATAAAAAATTTAACTACAAAGTCACTTTAACTTAATAAAGGGGCTGGCTTTTTAAATGCCAAGTTGTAAGCACTTCTGAAATGTTTTGGCTCTCATGAACTGATGTACTTATATGATTCCTTGTTTCTTTTAAAGGTTGTATCTATGGGCGAATGCAACTTATTGTAAGCGCTTTGAATAAAAAGCGTCAGCTAAATGCAATGAATTGTAAATGTGTAACAAAGCATAGCTCATTTCTGAATCCTGGAGCAATCTGAAGTAAACAGCTTGAAATACTCGGCTTTTCTATTCCTCCATCTGTGACTGTGTAACCTCCCATCTCTTGGATATCAGCATGTGAGGACACTCGTTCTGGAACTAGTGAAGGCCTGTATGTGATGAATAACTATTTTAGAAATGTTTGAAAAAATAGTCAGAATTTTTGATTTGAAGAAAATTAGAGAAAAACAGGAATTTTTGATTTTGCGTAAAAAGCAGAAAAAAAAAAAAATTTTAGAGATTTTGAGAAAAAGTCAGATTAGAGTTTGAAGTAAAAGTTCACGAAATTGAGATTTTCTTTAGTCAAAAGTCAGAATTGTTGAGTTTTGAGGAAGAAAGTCAGAAATTTGAGACATAAAGGTCCAAAAACCAACATTTTAGAAAAAAGTAAGTTTTGTTGCGTTTCATGACAGGATGTGATTATTAGAGAACTGGTATTCCCCATCTCATTTGTGAGCTGTGTAACCTCCCTCTCTTAGGCATATCAGCATGTGAAAGACAGCTTGTTCAGGGAACTAGTTGATGCTCTGTATGTGATGACTACTTCCATTCTGGAGAGGATCACAGATACATGGATCCTGAGGTTGAAGATCAAGCCGGTGCGAGTTTTCTAATATTGTCCTAATGTTCTAATATATCATAAAGCGTCGTACCGTCTCCGCTCTTGGAGCCGTCCGTCACGTGCTGCTTGCGGATGCTGTCCTCGTCCGCCTTCCTGTCTCGACCCGGGCAGGCGCAGATCCGGGCCTCGAAGCAGCGGCGGCCTAACACCTGACCACTGAGAGGGAAACACAGCAGGTGAGACACGGAGCAGACGGTTACCTGCAGGAACCTGAGGCTGTCTGTGAGCGTGTCTTACTCTCGGGTCTCCAGAGTCACGATGATGAGGATCGGGCGTCGGTTCATCCCCCCCACGCAGCTCGAGTTGCACATGAAGTTGTACAAAATTGTGGTGAATTCTGTGCCCACCTGAGAGAGGAGAACAACACGGAGGGTGAGTTGTTGTTTTTAAGTTATTCAGAGGCTTTTCCTGCATAGAAACCACTAAACATGCACATCTAAGTGTGTGAAGGCAGTTCTAGTAGTGTTTGCCTTTTATTTCTAGCTCTAAAAATGCACAGCTCTGCATATTTTAATTCTTATATATTGTACGTGTGTCTTCCCAGCAATTTGTCACGTTTTAAATCGCATATTTATATTTACTTATAATAAGTGAAAGGATGTTTTTTCCCCATACCTTGAATGACAAGAACCCAAATGAAGAAAATAAAATGTCAAACATGTTTTCTCTGTGCAGCTGCATTGAGATGAAGCATGCTCATATGGAGGGGCTTTAGGTCTGAGTTCACGTGGAGTCTATGGGTGTTTCTCAATGTCGAGTAAGGATGCTCCAGAGCCACTATTTCAAGCATTCTACGTCATCGAGTGCCGCCGAAGGACTGTTCCAATGTCCAGCATACTTGGAAATCTACCGAGCCCAGCGTACTTCATAGCGAGAAATTTCGAGGCTGCACATGTGTAGTAGTAAAATCCCCACAATGCTTTGCGCACAGAACAATTTCCCCAAATCTGTGGCGGAAAATGTAAGGCGGGCCCTCTCATATGACGCACACTTGCTCGCCTGTTCCACTCTTTGTTTTCCGAATGCCAGGAAGGATGCTTGCCTCGCTTCTGAAGGAAGTGACTCGGAAGGCGTGTGCTACCAAGCAAGCGTCCTCGACATTGAGAAACACCCGATATCTATGCGAGGTGGTGAAGTGTGGCTGGCGGTGCGTTCAGGTGCCTGTCTGCAGAATGGGAGACGCTCACCTGTGGAGGTTCGTATGGGACAAACACGCTCTGCCTCCCGGTGATGGAGTCCTCCAGGTACTGAGCGTGGTTGTTCCCCTCCACCCGGATCAGGTGGCTGGGAGGAGCGATCTGACCTGGAGAAACACGGGGCAGCGTCATTAAAACAGAAAACACTAAGTATATAACTTTATATACCTTATAACAATTTGAGGTACTTGCATCAGAAGGAAAGTACTCATTAGACGTCATGGTATGGTACAAGTATACAAAAGCATAACATCTAAATTCTCACATAAGTAAAACTACTTGAAAAAGTACATTCAAGTTCATTTTTCTGAAACATCATGATTCAGGACTGTCACTTGTAATAGTAGTAGAGTATTTGTAGACCTTGTGCTTCTTACTTTCACTGAGGGTTCATTTGGATTTTCTTCCACTGAGGATGTTAACTGAAGTGACACATGAGGGATAACGTTTAATAAATCAAAGTGCACTGACCGTCGTTGAACTCGCGGCTGAGCTCGTGGTTGGGGCAGCGCTTCACGACCTCCGTCACGTGCTCCGCCTTCTTGTAGACGGGCATGGCTCTGATGACGGCGCCCTGCGGGGGGTTGGTCAGCACTTTGATCTGGATCGGACACGTCTTGGCGATCTGACAGTACAACTTCTTCAGCTCTGTTGAGTACTGCGAACAGAGAAAACAAGAGGATAAGACTGTGCTGAAAACATTTTTTTATATCGTAGTTTATTTGTTGTTTTGTGTCTGACTCTTTGTCTGAATGTTTTTATTATGATTATATATTTTTAAATAAGCCTTAAATACGTTTTATATGAAATCAACGAATCACCATCATTGTACTCGTGAGCTCAGAGGAGTGTCTTCACTTACATATGTTTATGGCACATATATCCATATATAGTCCACATATTTATATATTTTATCATTACCAAATAAAGTCTAATTTCCACTTTCATGTAATACACCCAGTAGATTTTTTTACACAAAAGTCTTTTTTTGTTGAAATGCATTTTAATTGTATAGTTATACTAATACGTGTGCTGGTATTTATATGTTGTTCCATGCGTTGAACTGCTTGTATAGTTGTTGGTGTGATTAGTGAGACTGTGCAATGTGTCCTAGTGCCAACGGACTGAAGATGGAAAATTACTTCATAGCAAAATCTGTCAAAAATCTAACCCATTAACAAAAACAATGCAATTTAATCGAAAAAGTTGAAGCAATTTGAAAGCTTCCAAAAATGTGTGAATTTTATCGAACACCTGTTGGCAGCACCGCGACTTCTGTTTTCCCCGAAGCATAAAAAGCGTTAAAGACAAGACTGTGATTATGAGTTAAATAAACACACACAGGTTCTGGAGCTGAGAGTGTGTGTGGGGAAACCTCAAAGATCTCACGAGAGCCTCTGGGACTTCCGTGGAGGAGCGCCATAAAAAACGGACCCCTCCAGGAGCAATTAAACTCCAAGCATGGCCTCTTTCATCTTCACGGGTGAGGGGGGCTAAAAGCATCTGATGGCCCCTCATCATCCAGAGCAGGGCTTCCTCCTTCAACTTAACTCAGCTTTACTCTGTGCAGGAACGAAGAAGGTCTAGAAAGATCTGTCTGGGACCAAACTGTGGTAAAATGACCTACATTGAAAAGTCTGTAAGCCAGGAGTTGTGAAATATGTTGATCCCTGGTACCTATTAGGGCTGTACCCGAATATCCGAATATTCGTTCGTTGGAGTACTATTCGGGTTTCAATTTCGTTTCGGATATTCGTTTTGTTTATTTTTCCCCCGTTCTTTTCTTCGAATTCAATTTATTGAAATCTCCAATATCAACGTAAGAGCTTGATCCTCTTCGGGGGCTGCTAACACTTAACCATAAACGTTATCGTTTACTTTCTCCGTCGTTATATGTAGATATTTTTCTCCAATAATCTCCGTCATGTCGTTCCCATAGCAACAACAACTTCCTGTCAAAAGCGCTAACCCTCCTTCAAAATAAAAGCATGTCCATACAAAATAGGAAGCCAAGCCAAATTACACTTAAGACATATACAACTGCAACGAAAGTAACAAATACAATACGATATCCTTTTCATTTCAAAGAACACAAATTGGGGTCATATTAACAAATAACTATAAAACAACATACTGTAGAATAAACAAAAATGAGCCGTGAATACAGCGAAAATACACGTGTTGAAGCGGTCGCTGCTGATCACTACGCCCCCCAAAAATGGTATTCGGGACAGCCCTAGTTACCTTAATAGATGTGATGAGCCATTTGAAAAACAAGAATGTTTCACATAAAGAGGACCGGAAAGAACACTTTGAGATTCACCGAACAACGAACATGCTATGACGTGGTTACTGTAAACCTGCCATTTTAAGCAAACGGTCACTAATAAGGTAAGTCTTTCCACCAAATATGACTTAAGTGTTACGTTTTGTAAGTATGAGTATTAAACATCGTGATTTTTAAGCAAAACTCCTGGTAGATACTTTCAATATATCTTGTTGAGGATGAAAAAACATAAATAAGAGATACAAAATATAGCAACGAAATAAAAAAAACAAACAAATCTGGTGAATGAATGAAGCAGTATTTTTCCTTACTTGCCA